TTTGTTCTTTTCCTTTTCCCTGGTGAATCTGATCCCAGTGAGGGTGTTGTTTATTAGTTCGTGCGTCTCCTCTAGTCTGGTCCGTTCAATAATGACGAAGGTGTCGTCCATGTAGCGTATCCATAGTTTTGTTTGGATGAGTGGAAGGGCCATACTTTCAAGTCTCTGCATCACTGCTTCAGCTTTTAGTCCGGAGATGGGTGATCCCATGAGTGTCCCGTTGACCTGTTCATATATTTGGCCGTTAAAAGTGAAGTGGGTGGTGAGGTATAGCTCCAATAGCTTCAGCATGTCATCTGTGGAGATGGTGTCACAAGAACAAGACCAACAGTGGCTCAGTGGTTAGCACTGCTGCCTCACAGCACCAGAGATCCAGGTTCCATTCCATGCTAGGATAACTGTCTGTGTGGAGTTTGCACATTTTCCCGAAATCTGTGGGGTTTCCTTTTGGGTGCTCCAGTTTTTCTCCCACAATCCAAAATTGTGCAGGTTAGGTGGACTGGCCATGCTAAATTGCTCATAGTATGCAGGGTGGGTGGATTAGCCACAGAAAATGCAGGGTTACAGGGATAGGGTAGGGGGTGGGCTGCTCTTCAGAGGGTTGGTGTGAACCCAATGGGCTGGATAGCCTGCTTCACATTGTAGGGATTCTACGGCTCTATGTACAAGTCTTCAGCTCACAATTGCTGCCTTTCTATCCCAAGAAAAAAAAACTTTGTTTAGAAAAAAAGGCCATTCAGAAGATTCAATTTAAATCTTATTTAAATAATAAGGTGATGGATCACTCAAGACCCAGAACAGGTTTTTTCTTTTAGTAATCGTTAGAGTGAGACATTCAACTTATTATTTTGTGCTGGATTCAAGTGTGGCTGTTCCCAGGTATTAAGCCACAGAATAGTCTCAATATTTTTAGTAGTGTTAAAATCCATGTCTGGGATAGGTTATTGGCACAATGCAGCTGAAATTGCAGAGCCAACCCAGCAGACACTTCCTTGTTGTTACTTTCAGAGTTGGCAGTGTACTCCCTCTGGAAAATGATTAGACACAGTGCCTGAATCATTACATTTTCCAAAGACCTGCTACAGGATGGTACAGAGGCCTATGAGCTCACCTGCCTCCACATCAGGCTGTGAAATGACTAACATGAGCGTTCAAACAGAATCGAGACGTAAAAGATAAAATTTGTAAATACCTAATATAACGACTACAAAGATAACTAGATTTGGCCGGGGTTGGGAGGGTGGAAAGCCATGCTGGAACACGGGTGAGAGCTCATGCTCAGAGTGAAAGGACCAAATTAAGCTAAAGTTTATCAAAAGAGGCTGGAACATTCACCCAGATTGAGAAAGACAGAGAAATTCAGGGGAAAACCCTCACCTCACTGGTGAGAGTGCCTTCTGGAGTTAATGTTTATCAAAAAAAAAGAGAAGTAAACTTGTAGGACCTAAGAATCATTTTTTTAAAAATTCAGTTGTGGGACATGGACATCACTGGCTGGCCAGCATTTATTGCCCGTCCCTAGTTGCCCTTGAGAAGGTGGTGGTGAGCGGTCTTCTTGAACCGCTGCAGTCCACCTGCTGTGGGTTGACCCACAATGCCCTTAGGGAGGGAATTCCAGGATTTGGATCCAGTGACAGTGAAGGAATGGCGATATATTTTTAAGTCAGGATGGTGAATGGCTTGGAGGGGAACTTGTAGGTAGTGGTGTTCCCACGTACCTACTATCCTTCTGCAATTACTTCGGATTGGTTCCGGGAAAATTGAATGACGATATAAAGGATATGGTTGAGAGTACACATGTGGGATGGGATTTTTGGTTGTGTTAAAAAGTGAAAAGGGGAGATTTCTGATCAATGGTTTAAAGATATGTAATGCTTAAGTGATTGCTACCTAAAAGTCTTAAAAATTAAATCTTGTCTTGTCATCTTTTCAAACTGGAAGTTCAAATTTCTTTTTTAAAGGTGTTATTGTTCTTTTCAGGGATTGTTACAATTCTTTTAAAACAGTAACACAAGTATACAAACTACACCTATAACTTAATATAAAAATATAGTTTGCAATGTTCAGAATTTTCCTCACACATTATATAATTAGCAAATATGTGTTCAGATAAATACTCAACAAATACAGTCCATTGATCTCTATTTTTCTCATTCTGTAATTGAGTCAAAACAAATGTTAATCAAAGAAGAAGTGCTAACCATTTCTTAAATCCTTAAATTTGAGTCAACGTCTAAATTATCAGAGTCAGAAAACTTCCCCCCCGAGTCAGAAATAACTGTAAAATGGCAGTTAGGAGGAAACCTTTGGGATTCTTTATCAGAAGTGATTAATTTCTATCTCATATTTTTCAGATCATTCCCGAAACCAATGAGTAAGTTTCAACTGACCCGGAAATGATCAGAACTGAAAGGCAAATAGAAAGAGCTGAAAAGCAAAAGATGTAATCGTCAACTAGTTACTCATTTACCTATTCTTCTTGATGATGTTAGTGATGAAAAGGAAGCAAATACAATCCTTCTGTTGAGTGGCTGAACCCGCCTAAAATTTGAATCCAATGTGCGATGGCCAGTCTTTAAGCTGGTCTTCAATTTATCCAGCTGAAGAAAGGACAGGGTAGAGTTTCAGTAACCATTCAGATTAATTGATGGAAAATTCACTGATTTGATACAGATTTCAAATCAGCTATTACAATTATCCGTATAATAGTTCATAGTTAAACTTATGCACAATGCTCCAATATCGTAGTCTTTAATTTATAGAACAGAGAGAATACATTGTCTTATTGTGGATTCCACAGGGATAATTTTAACACTGAAACGCAGTTTAATTGCAGTCAGATGAGGTAGAAATTTTAAAATCTCGAACTCAACCTCACCCATGTTCAACCACTTGAGTTTAATGAAGGCGGTACAGAGAGTTTCACATTTAAGCTTTAAAAAAAATTTTGTTCAAGGATGTGAGCATCACTGGCTAGGCCAGCATTTATTTCCCTTCCCCAGTTTGCCCTGGAGAAAATGGTAGTGAGCTGCCTTTGTGAACCACTGCAGTCGGGTGTAGGGACACCCATGGGTGTTGTTTTTAGAAGGGAGTTCCAAGGTATTATTTTTCAGGAGGAGGTCTAGCCAGATCATCCACTTGGCACCTCTGGCTGAAGGTGAATGCAAATGCTTCAGCCTTGTCTTTTGAACTGATGTGTTGGGCTCCCCCATGGTTGCAGGTGGGAATACTTGTGGAGCTTCCTCCTCCTGTTTGCTGTTTAACTTCATGACTAGAGGTGGCAGGACAGTACAGCTTAAATCTGATGCATTGCTTGCAAGATCGCTTAGTCTTATCTATTGTATGCTAGTTCTGCTGAGAAGCCCTTTGTTATATCTTCGCCAGGTTGAATGTATGCCTGCTGCTGACCCTTGGTTGTGCAGTAGGGGTATACATTCCGGGCCATGAGTTGAACTGTTGAATTGCGGTTGAACATAATACTTTGATAACCCACAGCTATCATAGATGCCCAATTTTGAGTTGCTAGATCTGCTTGAAGTCCGTTCCATCTACCACGCTGATAGTACTACACAATATGTAGAAAAGAGTCCAAAAGATGTATGGCTGTGGCCACTCTTACCTACATTGTCATAGATAAACCACTTGATAATCTGCAGCAGATGTACTGGTGAGGGCAAGTGAAATATGTTTTTCATGTTGATTCCCTCATCAACTGCTGCAGACATGGTCTAGCAGCTATGTCCTTAAGGATTTGACCAGCTTGGGTCAGTAGTGCTGCTGCTGAACCACTCCTAATGGTGGACTGAAATCTCCCATCCAGAGTATTCTCTACGCCTTGTCACCCTCAGTGGTTCATCCAATTGGTGTCCAATGTGGAGGAGTTCTGATTCATCAGCTGAAGGACAGTGGTAAGTAATAATCAGTAGGAGGCTTCCTTTTCTGATGAAGGGTCTAGGCCCGAAACGTCAGCCTCTCTGCTCCTATGATGCTGCTTGGCCTGCTGTGTTCATCCAGCCCTGCACCTTGTTGTCTCGGATTCTCCAGCATCTGCAGTTCCTACTATCTCTGATTCGGCTTCCTTGCCCATATTTGACCTGGTACCATGAAATTTCATGGGACCCAGAGTCAAATGGTTGAAGACTCCCAGGGCAAAGCCCTCCCGATTGTAAACCATTGTGCCATCACCTCTGCTGGGACTGATATACCCAAAAAAGGTCCTGTTGGTGGTGTGTGGGACATTGTCTGCAAGGTTTAATTTAGAAAGTATAATTTAATTTAGTCAGGTTGTTGCTTGACTAATCTGAGAGAAAGCTATTTCCATTTTGGCACTAGTCCCTAGATGTTTGTATGGAGGACTTTGCAGGCATGACAAGACTATTTTTGCCAATGTCATTTCCAATACCTAGATCAATGCTGGGTGGTCCATTCAATTTTGTTGCTTTCTATAGACTTTGTAGTGGTTTGACACAACTCAGGGGCTTCCCAAGCCATTTCAAATGGCAATTACCATTGCCATTTGGTCTGGTAAGGATGGCAGTACTCCTTCTCTGAAAGGAAGGAAATTAGTGAATCATTTATTTTTCCAACACTTATTATTAAGCTAGTTTTATATTTGGATCCATGTCCTCAGAACATCAATCTGGGTTGCTAGATTGCTAATTCAACAACATTATCACTAAACTATGACCTCCCCACCCTATTAGTAGAAGGCATATGGTGCAGTTTAGGTAAATCCTTTTTAAGACTGGCCAATTGAGTTTGAGTTTTTGGGCCCTTTGAGAAACTTGGCAGCTGATGGTAGGTGCCAGAGTCAGGGCACGGGATCAGACCCTTTAGTCCAACTCGGCCACACTGAATAAGTTTCCCAAAGTAAACTAATCCGTTTTCCTGTGTTTGGTCCATATCCCTCTAAGCAATTCCTATTCATGTACCTGTCTAGATGTCTTTTAAAATGTTATAACTATACCTGCATCTACCACCTCCCCTGGCAGTTCACTCCACATACGAACCACTCTCAGAAAATTGCCCCTCAGGTCCCTTTTAAATCCTTCTTCTCTCACCTTAAAATTATACCCATTTTTCACACGGTGAGCGATTAGGAGATCATCATTATCCAAGAGAAGGGCAGCATGGTGGCTCAGTGGTTAGCACTGCTGCCTCACAGCACCAGGGACCTGGGTTTGATTGCACCCTCAGGCGACAGTCTGTGTGGTGTTTGCACATTCTCCCCGTGTCTCTGTGAGTTTGCTCTGGTTTCCTCCCACAGTCCAAAGACGTGCAGGTTAGGTGGTTTGGCCATGCTAAATTGCCCATAGTGTTCAGGGCTGTGTGGATTAGCTGGGTTATGCGGGATGCTCTGAGAGTTGAGAGGACTTGTTGGGCCGAAGGGCCTGTTTCCACACTGTAGGGATTCTATGATAATGAACTAAAGATTTTTTTTCAGGCTACGGGAACTGGCAGGGGAGTGACATTAGCTGAATTGCTTTTGTACTGAGCTGAGGCAGACATGATGGGCCAAATGGCACCTTTCTGTGTTGTAACCTTCTAAGAAGAATAATTATGCAATGGCTCCTCCTTTCAGCATTTTAGACAGTGCTGGTGTGTCCAATTATTCTAAGTTTTCTTGAGAATTGGGTTCCAGTGGGGTCATGGGCTAGAATTCAGCCCTGGCATTTGGATCATAACTTCTGCTTATTGGGAATAAGGATTTGTAATTGAGAAGATATCAATCTGGCTGCAAATCCTATGGCTTAATTCCATAGCTCATCATCCTTGGGCCTATTGAGGCTCCTAAGAGGGCAATTAATTTGCCTATGAGAAATTTAATCCATCTTTGCTGCAATTTTTTAAGATGATAGGGAGAAATGAAGCAAGATTTAACCATAACTCTTCACCCATCAGGAGGCTCACGCCCCCAGTTTATACCTCCTTCTAATCGTACACCCTCCACACTGTCAGCTCTCTAAACTGATCCCCTCATGCCACTCCATCATTGTGGTCTCCCAACAGGGTCTGCCGAAAATTGTGCGAATCACTTAAACTCTGCGCGACATCTTTTATTCTTCTTTGCAATTTTGTTGTAGTTCCAGCAGTGGCCACTGTGCTGTTTTGGCACTATTGGGCTTCCAGAGCCTTCCAGCCAATCAGACTGACTGGCAGCTGTCTAGGGCAGGATTTTCTTCTTTGCTGGGGGCACAAGCCCCATTTTGAGCCAATTAAGATTGCCACAAGTGTAGACATTTTTAAACAACCTGTTCAGAGATGTTACTACACATCTCTAGAGTAGGTGGGACTTGAACTTTGACCTCCACGTTCAGAGATAGGGACACTGCCAATGCGCCATAAGAGCCGTGTGTGAGATAATAGTGGGGCATCCAGATTACTGGTTGCTGTGGTTGGTTTGCTCGCTGAGCTGGACCGTTAGTTCGGAGACATTTCATTACCCTGTTGGGTAATGTCATCAATGCGGCCTCCGATGAAGCGCTGTTGTGTTTTCCCAGCTGGTATTTAAACTCTGAGGTCCATTGGAGTTGATTATTTCATTTCCGGTTTTCCTTCACAGTGGTGTATATATAGGGTCTAGTTCTATGTGCTTATTGATGGCCTTCTTGGTGGAGAATCAGACCTCTAGGAATTCCCGCACTTGTCTCTGCTCGGCCTGTCCCAGGATCCTGATGTTGTCCCATTTGAACTGGTGGTTCTCCTTATCCATGTGAATGGAGATGAGTGAGTATCGATCGTGTCTAGTTGGTGTTCATGTATTCCTGTGGCCTGTTTCCTTCCTGTCTGTCCAATGTAATGTTTGTTGCAGTCCTTGCATGGAATTTTGTATATCACGTTGGTTCTGTCTGTAGTGGGTAGGGGGTCTTTGGTTTGAGTTAGCAGTTGGCATAGGGTTGACATCGGTTTGTGTGCTACTCTGATGCCCAATGTCGTAGGAGTCTTGTAGTCAGTTCAGATATGTTCTTGATGTATGGTAGCGTGATGAGTGCATCAGGACATGCAGTATCTTCCTGTTGTTTGTGTGATAGGCACCAAATTCCATGCAAGGACTGCGGCAAACATTACATTGGACAGGCAGGAAGAAAACTGGCTACAAGAATACATGAACACCAACTAGCAACAAAAAGACACGACCGATACTCCCTCGTCTCCATTCACACGGATAAGGAGAACCACCAGTTCGATTGGGACAACACCAGGATCCTGGGACAGGCCAGACAGAGACAAATGTGGGAATTCCTAGAGGTCTGGTTCTCCACCAAGAAGGTCATTAACAAACACATAGAACTAGACCCTATATATACACACTACTGCGAAGAAAAATTGGAAAGGAGGTAATCAAGTCCAACGGACCCCAGAGTTTAAATACTAGGCGGGAAAACACAACAGCACTTCATTGAAGGCTGCACTGATGGTGTTTCCCAGTAGGGTAATGAAACGTCTGCGAACTAACGAACTAGCTCGGTGAGCCAACCAACCACAGCATCCACGAACCAAGCTACAGATCTACTCAAAGACCTTAGAGATAACTGGTTGGCGATGTCCCAACCGACTCTGAGGTTGTTGGATGCTGATCCGTCTCCATGAAAAATCCACCCCATCATGATGATTGGTCCCCAGCTTAAAACAACTGATAATTTAGCACAAGGTGGAGTTACATGGACATGCGTCAGCCCCAATTTTCTTCCATCAGTCCGGACATTTTGTCTGGGTGAGAGGGCAGGCTGGATTTGGACCTGGTTGACTTGAGGAAGACAGTCTGACTGGTCTGGCGGAAAGCCCACCTCAGGGCTCCAGTGCTGAGCTCAAAGTTTAAGAATAAACATGAAAACATAAAACATTGCTCCTGCTCACTCCCCCTCACCCTCAGACAGTACTGTTACATTAACATTACTTATTGTTGCTAAACTAGAATTTTAAAAGACAACTGTACAACATTGAGAGATAATAATAAAGAAGAAAGCATATATTACTGAAGCAATAAGAAGCAGGAGTAGTCTATATGGTTCCTCAGTCTATTGCACTGTGACTTTTTCAATCTGTAACCGTTAGGCAGAAACCTGTATCAGATTCCTCAATGCATACCGTGCACAAACTTTCCACTCATTATTACCTGAAGATAAAAGAGGCATTGACTGACACTTTGACTTTAGTGCTATTTCACTATTAGTTAAACTACCTCTCTGGTAGTTGCAGAAGTACCTGTGCTTGAGAAATGAGGACGGTCTCGTTGAATACTGTCCAGGTAACTGTCTGAAAGCAGGGTGGCGTTGTCAAAGATCCATTATAGCGGAAAAAGCGGTATAGCTGACTGGGTAACAATGTGTTAATGTCAAAACCAGGAATTTTTATAGTAGCACCTACAATGAAATCAATGCAAAACAGTGGGTTCTGTGTAGAGAGCATCAAAGAAAAATATAAATATCAGAAACTGTCGATAAAAATCTGAGAACAAGTCAAAGATAAGCATTTATTTTATTACAGTAATTGCCTTAAGTACTTTAAAATGATTACTTCAACCTCAAATCAATTCATGTTAAGAATGTTTTTAAGTTACTCACATCAAATTAACTTAATCTGTTTGAAAAGATTTAAAATACGGTTTTAAAATGCTATTTTAAATAAATGCCACCTCAGCCACATTTTAAAAAGTGAGAAATAAACCTGTAAAAGGACTAAAAGAAGTACACCACATTGGACCAATGTTATAACATCTTTTATCCAAATCACATACTGTCTGGAATTGGAAAACTTCAATTTTGCATCCAATTTCCACCCTGCCCTCACTTTCACCTGGTCTATCTCTGACTCCTACCTTCCCTTCCTCGACATTTGTTTCCATTTCTGGGGATAGACTGGCCACTAATATCCATTACAAACCCACTGACTCCCACAGGTACCTGGACTATACATCCTCACACCCTGCTTCCTGTAAAGATTATCCCATTCTCTCAGTTCCTCCGTCTCCATTGCACATGTTCAGAGGAGGCCAACTTCGACAAGGGAGCCTCCGAAATGTCCACCTTCTTCCTCAACCGAGGATTCCCCAGCTCCATGGTTGACAGGGCCCTCAACTGGGTCCAACCCATCTCCCGCACTTCTGCCCTCACCACTTCTCTTCCCTCCCGCAACAGCGATAGGGTTCCCCTTGTCCTCACCTACCATCCCACCAGCATCCAGATCCAGCAGATCATCAGGCGCCATTTCCGCCACCTCCAGCAAGATGCCACCACCAGACACATATTCCCCTCCCCTCCCTTGTCCGCCTTCCGCAGGGACCGTTCCCTCTGGGACACCCTGGTCCACACTTCCTTCACCCCCAACACCCCCCCACAGCCCTACGGCACCTTCCCCTGTAACCGGCGAAGGTACAACACCTGCGCATTTACGTCCTCCCTCCCCAGTATCCAAGGGCTCAAACATACCTTCCAGGTGAAGCAACACCTCACCTGCACTTCCAAGAATCTAGTTGACTGCATTTGCTGCTCACAATGTGGTCTCATCTACATTGGGGAAACAAAGCGTAGGCTGGATGACTGCTTCGCAGAGCATCTACATTCTGCTCGCAAAAAAAACCCTGAACTACCCACTGCCTGCCACTTTAATGCACCAACTGTTCCCTGACCAACATGTCTGTCTCCAGCTTGCTGCAGTGTTCCAGCGAAGCTCAACACAATCTAGAAAAACACCACCTGCAGCCCCCTGGACTCAATAGCGAGTTCAATAATTTTAGGGCCTAAACTCTCCCATGCCCCAGCCCCCTACCCCACACACCAGGCCTTGTTACCACATAGCCTGCCATTACGCACTACCTGTTATTAGACACTAATAGTCCCCATTAACAACTATTCACCCTCACAGCCTGATCGTTATCAACTCTTTGTCTGTCCAACTGCTTTTCTCTCTCTGTAGGCTCTATCCTATCGTTTACTCCCTAGCCCATCCCCGTCACCTATTTTCTGTATATAAACTGACGTTTTCCCAGCCACCATCAGTTCTGAGGAAGGGTCACCGGACCCGAAACGTTAACTCTGATTTTTCCTTCACAGATGCTGCCAGACCTGCTGAGCTTTTCCAGCAACTTTGTTTTTGTCACATACTACTACGTCCATTTTATCCCTGCCAGGTTTCTGAGCAGCTGTGGCAAGTGCTGAATGGGAGGAGCTAACTCCTGAGATTTAAACACATCCTCAAAACTCTTTGTGCTTTGGCCCAAAATATTGGGCATTAATCAGATTTCTGCAAGGAAGGGGTGAGAGAGTGGTCAAGAACAAACAGGAGAAGAAAGTTAAATGAGCAAGAACAGGAACTGAGAGCCAGGAAGAAGAGACATGACATCCAGAAAAAAAAAAGAGGAAGTGCAAGCTTTCTTCACAGGAACCACAAGAGAATCAGAGTCCAGTTCTGCCATAGGGCAGTACGGTGGCTCAGTGATTAGCTCTGCTGCCTCACAGCACCAGGGACCCAGGTTCAATGCCACCCTCAGGTGACTATGTGTGGAGTTCGCAAATTCTCCTCTTGTCTGCATGGGTTTCCTCTGGGTGTTCTGGTTTCCTCCCACATTCTGAACATGTGCAGATTGGTGGATAAGCCATGGGAAATGCAGGGTTACAGTTACAGAAATAGGGTAGGAGTTGGATCTGGGTGGAATGGTCTTTGGAGGGTCGGTATGGACTCAATGGGCCAATTGGCCTCTTTCCACACTGTGGGGATTTAAAACTTGGATACATTCCCAACAGTTGACAAAGAACAAAGAAAATTACAGCACAGAAACAGACCCATCGGCCCTTCAAGCCTGCGCCGATCCAGATCCTCTGTTGCCTATTTTCCAAGGATCTGTATCCCTCTGCTCCCTGCCCATTCATGTATCTGTCTAGATACATCTTAAATGACACTATTGTGCCCGCCTCTACCACCTCCGCTGGCAACGCGTTCCAGGCACCCACCACCTTCTGTGTAAAGAACTTTCCACGCATATCTCCCTTAAACTTTTCCCCTCTCACCTTGAAATCATGACCCCTAGCTACTCACAGCTGGCTTAAAAACCAGAGTTAGAAACAGCGAGGAACAAATTCCAGCCAGAGCTCTTGATATAGGAATTAAAATATATACACAATATATACTCTACTTTACAATAACTTAGAGATGCTATAAATCTAAGTCCCAAGGAACTTTGCAGGAGTGTTATAGAACATAAGAAATAGGAGCATCTGGCCCACTGAGCCTGCTCCACCATTTAATAAGATCGTGGCTGATCATTTTGCGGACTCAGCTCCACTTATTTGCCTCCTCGCCACACCCTGTTTAAAAATTTATCTTTGCCTTTAAAACATTCAATGAGATACCCTCATCTGCTTCACTGGCAGGAAATTCCATGGATTCACAACTCTTTAGGTGAAGAAGTTCCTACTTAACTCAGCCCTAAATCTGCTTCTCCTTATTTTGAGGCTATGCCCTGGTTCTAGCTTCCCCCGCCAGTGGAAACAACCTCCATGCTTCTATCTTACCTATTCCCTTCATAATTTTATATGTGCCCAAAAGATCCCCTCTCATTCTTTTAAATTTCAATGATTACAGTCCCAGTCTACTCAATCTCTTGTCATAAGCTAAACCTCTTTATTTTGGGATCCACTTAGTGAACATCCTCTGCACACCCTCCAGTGCCAGTACATCCTTTCTCCAGTAAGGAGACCAAGACTGTACACAATACTCCATTTGTGGCCTCATGAGCACCCTACACAGCTGCAGCATAGCCTCCCTGTTTTTAAGCTCCATCCCTCTAGCAAAGAAAGGCAAAATTCCATTTGCCTTCTTAAATACCTGCTGCACCTGCAAACCAACATTTTGTGATTCATGCACAAGGACACCCAAGTGCCTCTGTACTGCAGCATGTTGCAATTTCTTTACCATTTAAATAATAAGCCATTTTGCTGTTGCTCCTACCAAAATGGATGACCTCACATTTACCAACATTGTACTCCATCTGCCAGACCCTTGCCACTCACTTACCCTATCTATATCCCTCTGTAAACTTTCAGTGTTCTTTGCACACTTTGCTCTACCACTCATCTTAGTGTCATCTGTGAACTGACACACTACACATGGTACCCAACTCCAAATTATTCATGTAAATTGTAAACAATTGCAGTGCCAACACTGATCCCTGAGGCACACCACTAGCCACTGATCGCGAACCAGAAAAACACCCATTTATTTTCATTCTTTGCTTTTATGACACCAATACACGAGGAGAAATCAGAAAAAAATGAGCAAAAGCCTGGTTGGAAACAGTGTTAAGGAGCATCTTAAAGAAGCAGGATTGAGAAGCAGACAGGTCTATACAGAGGATTCCAGATATCAAAGCTTTGCCAACTGAAGTAAGGCTAACAACTGGCTCAACAGGTCACAGTGAGAGGAGGGCAAATATCCGAGGGTCACGGGTCTGGTGGGATTATGGAGATAGGAAAGGTGGCATGGAAGGAATTGGCAACAAATTTGAGACTTAAAATTGAGGCACTTCTTAACCGGGTCCAGTCTAGATCCGCAGGCATATGATTAAATGGAACTAGCTGCAATTTGGGACATATGCATCCGCGTTTGGATAATGTCAAATTTACTGAGGGCAAAACTTAGGCTGAGAGAGTCTATTGGAATTTTCATCTTTAGATGTGATGAATGCATGGATGAAGGTTTGAGCAAATGAATTGAGACGATCATCATAGAATCCCTACAACGTGGAAAGAGGCCATTTGGCCCACCTAGTCCAGTGACCCTCTGAAGAGCATCCCACCCTTCCTATCCTATTGCAGTAACCCTACATTTCCCATAGCTAATCCACCTAACCTAAACAATCCCTGGACACTATGGTAAATTTAGCATGGCCAATCCACCTAGGCTGCACATCTTTGGACTGTGGGTGGAAACTAGAACACGCAGAGGTGACAGAGAGAATGTGCAAACTCCATACAGACAGATGCCCAAGGGTGGAATTGAACCTGGGTCCCTGGCACTGTGAGGCAATGGTGCTAAACACTGAGCCACCGTGCCACCTGAGACAAGGGTATAGTTGAGCGATGTTACAAAGGTACAAATGGGTAGTCTTAATAGTGGTGTGGGTATTTGCCTAGATGATCATCTCAGTCAAACCTAATATGAAATGTTAGGTATGTATACTTTGCCTTTAAAGAAGTTCTCCTATTAAGGACTCTAGAACTTAGGTGTGTTTATACAATCTTGTGAATTTTCCTGTCAGTCTGCTGAGTCTGCAAGCTGCACACACAAACCAATTGCAATTTGTTTTAATGTCATAAATAAACTAATCCACAGAGTTAAGCAATCCTTGATAAACATTTGATTCTTA